GATTTTCCATTTCAATAACCTATGCAAGTTAAAGAGAAATGCACTATGGCAACTAAATATCCTCGATTTGATAAGTTTTTATAGCCATGGATGTCATGACTGTTGCAGAAGAGCCTTGAATCACCCAATGTCTATGTGAAGAGTACATCCTTCAAATTCAACTAAGGATTCTTTAGGGCAATCTCAATCTTTTTTGACTGTCTCCAAAGCTAATATTGGTCTTCTAATTTGATAGATGCGGTAGATTCACAGTCCTCAAGATGGCTCGCCTTGGAAAGAATGCTATGTGTTATTGTTTTAAAAAACTGAATCAATCTGCTGTACGTGATATATCGTTTTAATAAATGCACTTGAATTCGCTTTTTGCACAGTCAGTCTTACAAGTTTTGACATATTTCATTTTATCTATTTTCTCTTCAAGCTGGGCTCTAGGGCTCTATGAGAAATGGTATCGTATTGTTAGTTTCAGCATGGCTAAGAACCAACACGATCACCTCTGACACACCCATTACGTAGGTCACCCACAGGGTTGATAATGCTTTCACCGAGGTTTCTTTGATAGCATAAGATAGGACCTCGTTGATTTGAAATATCTTCAACTAATTTTATTGACGAATCAAACACTGTGGCTTTTATCTGGAAAATCGGTAGAAGATTGTTAACCTATCTATTTGAAACAAAAGGCAGATTGATTATTTAAGTACTACTACTACTACTACCACTACCACTACCACTACCACTACCACTACCACTACCACTACCACTACCACTACCACTACCACTACCACTACCACTACCACTACCACTACCACTACCACTACCACTACCACTACCACTACCACTATCACCACTACTACTGCTAATAATAATAATAATAATAATAATAATTGTAATACCCATGAAAAAATCATGACCTGGAGTCTTCCAAGACAAAGAAAAATTGATATGGTTTTGTATGCTGTCTTTCAGGTGCCAGTGTCTTGCTGAAAGAAATTTCCCACCGGTGGGTAACCATTAAGTAGCATTCAGCCTTACTTAAAGTTTGCATTTTTACTTGCTTTACTATACAGCACGTCATACTATTCTACAAAGTTGATGCACTTTTTTTTAGCTGAGATATGCCTGAACACTGGTAAAAAAAAAATTATGTGTACAAATTTATCAGGTAGGAGCCCCAAATAGAGAGAGTAAAAAAAAAAGAGCCCACGCTGAAAAGGTTGCATGGCCAAAACAAATGAGTCAATAAGTTGAATCCTCTCTCAACTTTTTTCCTATCATTCCGTTCAACTTGGGACGAGTAAGACACCAAGGAACATTAGTTATCGAGTAATTTTATTAATAGCACAAATGTACCTCTCCAGTTTGTCACAGCCCTACCAAAATACAACAAAGAAATATATTCGAATGACACAATGTATACTTCTCCATCTTTTAGTATCCTCAATATAGTGCGGTTGGAGAACTTAGCCAATAGGATTCATATAGAGCACCAGCAGGTACGACCACGAGCATGGTTATTAATTACTGCACACAATTGATACTGACATGAAATATGCAACTTTTTAAAGAGAGCTCTTTCGCTTTTGACAGAAGTTACTCAACTTAGATTTAAGCTGGCTGGCAAGAGCGATGGAAATTAGCAGTAGAACCCTTTGTATGAATGCGTGTGCGTGTGCGTGTGCGTGTGCGTGTGCGTGTGTGGATATTTGTGGGGGAAGGGGGAGGGGGTGGGTGGGTAGAGAATGGTGAAACCTCTATCCCAGACTAATAATAGACGTATCATTTTCCATTTCACATTTCACTATGCAAGTTTAAGAAAGATATACTGTGGCAACTAAGCATCCTAAATTTTATAAGGTTTAGTAGCCATGGATGTCATGACTGTTACAGAAGGGCCTTGAATCACCCAATGTCTATGTGAAGAGTACATCCTTCAAATTCAACTAAGGATTCTTTAGGGCAATCTCAATCTTTTTTGACTGTCTCCAAAGCTAATATTGGTCTTCTCATTTGATAGATGCAGTAGATTCACAGTCCTTCAGATGGCTCGTCTTGGAAAGAATTCTATCTGTTGTTGTTTTAAAAAACTGAATCAATCTGTTGTACGTGATATATCGTTTTAATAAATGCACTTGAATTCGCTTTTTGTACCGTCAGTATTCCAAGTTTATACATATATCATTTTATCTAGTTTCTCCTCAAGCTGGACTCCAGGGCTCTATGAGAAATGGTATCGTATTGTTAGTTTCAGCATGGCTAAGAGGTAACCAACACGATAACCTACGACACACCCATTACGTAGGTCACCCACAGGGTTGATAATGTTTTCACCGAGGTTTCTTTGAGAGCATAAAATAGGACCTCGCTGATTTAAGACCACTTCACCAAATTTAATTGGCGAATCAAACACTAAATGTGCTTAACACTGTACGGTGATACGCGATTAAGAAAGTTTACCTCTTGAAATGAAAACTGGATAATACCGAATACATCTAATTGCACGATATATCTAGCAACTTATACCAAATTACGCAATGTGAAATTGACACGACATTGCATACTTTGCGTTAATTAAAGTCGCGTTAATTTTCATAAGCTTAGTTTCCGCTTTCGTTTCTGCCAATTCATGTTGTTGGCGTCCTTCTGTCTCGGGAGACAATGGAGTTGCGCCCATGGTCAGTCTGTGGTGGAGCTGCAGCGCCGGCTGTGGCTGTAGAGACCGATCCTCGAGCGGCAGATCCTGCTGCAGTTGCTGCATGCGAAGACGTTGTCGTCCGAGGGGGATGGGTTGGCCTCTGCTCTCTGGCAAATGGTAAATGAGGACAGTTTTGTTCTTATTAAGCTGAGACACCTCCTAAATCGTGTCGATTTCAAAAAAAGACAAGCTAGACAATAATATCTATTAAAACAGAGGATTCAACTTCAAATGATCCATCAGTAAAAGTCGCCTGACAATACTGCTAAAGACAACAGGTCTAGGCGCATTAAGTTATTGAATAGTGACATGACATCAGTATAACTGTCAACCACAGAAATAACGACGAAGTTCTAAATTCAACATTACTGATACTGTCCGCCTTCTGGACTCCTCATCTACGGCTGCCCTCTGGAACGGGACGACACAATGCCCCGAATGACAACATCTAACATTCGTCCTCTGGAATGACTTCAAAATTACTGAGCGGTGAGAAGCTGCTCAAATTTGCACAGCTTGGAAAGAAGTTCTCACTACCGCCTAACGCAAGAGAGTCACGAAAGACCTCTAAAATCATGAACAACCTGCCGACGCGGAGGAGTTTGCTCGACTGGTGCGTAGCCTTCTACAGCCGTAATTTCAGTGCCTGGGCCGCTTTTCGAGACTATTTCGCATTTGCCTTCCCTATCTTCCTATTTCCACAGATAGGTAAAATGTAACAATACTGCATGAGCCCACCGCAGGAGCGACAGTAGGTACATATGTAAGACCATGCGCATTGAAGTCTATGTGGCTATGCTATGTATTCTACTTCTCGCAAACGTCGACGGCTGTGCGAACGAACCTTTTGACCAGATTAGGAGAGAACATAGAAAACTTTTACCGTGTTAACTCCAAGGTATTGATAATCATTTTATGTTTTCAACTCCAGTAACTCTTCAGCGAACCTGAACCATCCAGATTGCCAGGATTATCCTATTTACATTTTGTTAAAGAGGGAGACACAAGACGGGATTATTTTGATATGTATAGGGAGAAAAGCTATTTAGCACCGTTTTAATCTCTATCAATCTCTCCGTTTGCTGTGAATACAGGTGCGAAGTGGTTCTTTCTTTTTTTAACGCTTACGTTTACACTATAGTGAAGTCTTACATTTCTGTTATTCAATGATTCAAAGATTCCCTCGGTGTTCACTTCAATCGCCTTCACGTTTGCATTGTACAAAAATTTATACAACGATTGAAATATGCCCTTCGTCACCAAACCTATTAGCCACTAGACCGTGTTGTAACAGCACGTGCCTTAGGTGAACGCTAAAGAAAAGCAGGTTCACTTCTAGCCTGCAGAACAAGCGTAATTTAAGCGAGCGAGAGCTCAGTGTTTTCTCCACGAAAATTATGGCCGCCATCTTTGATTTTGTGGCAGCGGAAGGCTGGGGAGAGAGTGAGAAATTTGTACCAAGGAGGCAGTCGTCGGTCTAAAACAAGGAGAGGGTAAGTGTGAGGAAGGTCTTTCCCCACCGTTCACTCTAACTCCAAATCAAACATGGCCGGTCGGATAAACGATGGCGAGTTTATAGCGTTAGCTCGCACTAATAAGACGCCTGCCCTGAAAGCCAGTTCCTTATCTTTCTACCTTTCTAAAATTTATTCACGCGATTCAAACACGTCGTGCGTGTCGCGTTAGTTCGTTACGGAAAAGCTCAAAATATAATCAAAACACTTCCAAATACGTAAACAAGATTACGCATTCGTGGCAATTAATTCAACGACATCAAAACATCATCGTTCTGGTGACAAAATACCACAAATAAACCACTAAGGCAGTATCAAAACGCATTAAAACGACGTGACCACACTTCCGGAGATGAAGGTCAATCACAGCTTATCAATACCTTATCGCATTAAATTAACAGTGATTGTATTGCAAGCCAAAGCATAGACACACATGCTGTGCTCTTTATGAGGACAAAGGGTTTAAGAGGATACAATGAACAAAACAAAGTAAAAGGTTGTTTGAGTCCATCTGCCATTTCCGGTCGTACAATTAGCTACAAGGACAAATGTTTAGACAATGTTTTAAAACGCTTGTTGGCGAAACGGATATTCATCAATTTGAATGGCGCCAAACCAATTTCCACACCGACGATGTTTTTTTCCTTTCACATTTACCGCTGACGGTTACGGCAGTCTCCAACTAATTACTAACATTTAGCTAACAACGCGAGTACACTCATGACAAATTACTCTATTTTCGCGGTATTAATTGAAGTTTTCTCCTTCTTTCGTCAGGTTAACCACAAAACTGCGGCAATATCTGAAGATCATTGTCATAAATTACTGCATGTAATGGTCACTGAACTTCTCTAATGACTACTGCCTACATTCATTCTATCTGAATCCTTTTTTTTAGGTGCTGATTACAGATATGTTTAACCGTGTTCTATAATACTGCACAATGGGATCTATCGTTGTTTGTTCTAACAAGAATATTTTTTTATTTCAGATGGCAGCGAAACACGAGAAGGTAAAACAATCAATTCTCCTTGACATAATGCTATGGTATTGAAATCATTCATCCAAAGCAAACAACTCATTCCGTGAGGTTACACCTCCATCATCACCTAACTTTAAAATAATAGTGAAAATAGAAAAGCATTTTAGATTAATTCATAACACAACTTCTTAAAGAAAGTACTTAGTTCTGTTGTAGATACAATTAGTTTTGTCTCAAAGGTTGCTGTGGCTGCTAGAGATAACCAATTTTAAAGAAGAATGAATGTCTCCATGCATTATGCTGGTCTAACTAGTTTTAAAGAGAAACATTTCTAAAATAAAACTGATGAGATTACAGAATTGAACGCTTGATTAGTTTTTTGAACATTTGTAGGGTGAAGATACAAGCTCTTCTGACGAGGAAGAAGCAGGCAAAGAGTGAGTAAACCTAAGAAGTTTAGATACGTAAACGTATTCTTTTCCCTAAACATGCCTTTTCTGGCATCAAAGACGTAACATCATAACGTCTGGTATAAGTTGTAATGAAATAAATTTAATTTGCCCAGCGAATTGAAATAAAATAAAGCCATGATCCTCGCAGGCGAGCTACAATTTTAGCAATTGCAGAAAAAAAGCCTAAAATACTACGGCTTTGACGGGATTCGAAATCCTGCCTCCCACATGGAGGGGAGTTTAAGAAAACCACCATGGCAACGGGAAAAAAAGGTTAAATGAGCAAAACAATGGCTGTGCACGAGCCTAACAAATCTTTGCATATTTCTATGCGTTCTCTGCAAAACAACAACGTGAAATGACCAAACTGAAGAACGTGAACGACGATGGCTATTTCTTTAAATTTCAATTTCTAATTTAACGCTGTGTTCCATGATCAGTGTCGAGATAGTTTTAACAGTAAGAAACAAACTAAGTAAACCTAAAGTATCGCGTGATTTCTAGGTAAAATATAAGTTCATTTTTTTAACCGACGTTGTCCACGGCGGCGGTGTCGTCGTTTCTTAATCCTTTAACTCCCAAGATCTGACTGTAAATTTTCCTCTTTGGCTACTACACATTTCCAAATATGTCAGTTGCAAAGATTTGGTGTTCTATCACGAAAACAACATCTACCTGATCAGCATGAGTATTCTCATTCCTTGTTTGCTGGATAATGTATGGATATGAAAAAGAGAAGTTAGGTTTCAATCACATCTAGGAGTTAAAGGGTTAAACTCCCGACTAGTTGGGCGCTGCGCTACTCCCAACTGAGCTACCAAGCCTCACACTAGGAGCGAGGCAAATTTTGAGGGTTTTTCTTTCCCGTAGAGGAATCTGATAAAACTTCTATTTGCTTTGGTTTATTCCACTGGTAATAAACGACTGTAATAGAAAGGCATTTCATTATCAAAAACAATGTTTCTGTTGTACACATCCTAGAATACCTCAGCATGACGCAGATTCCATCGAAGATCAACAAGAAGTGCGCTTGCTAGACAACACTTCAAGTTGCTTGGAAAATTCTAATCAGGTAAGAGTTGAAGAAAAAGTTTGTACTTTGCAAAAGCTTTTTTTTATTATTTTTTTCGAATCCGTTGAATGAAACAAGCGATCAAAGCTTCCAAACTGCGCCATGTCGTTACGCAAGAACACAGCATGACGAAATTGTACACCGTGTCGAACAATAAATACTCTTAAAAACGCAATCGGCCTCATGAACCTAGATGTAAATTCTCGATGAGGCGTTTCTAGAAATGTTTAGAAGCCACGTTCTCTCAAACCCGACTGTCTCGAGATTTGTGTCACCCCGAACTGAAATTGACGTAACACCGTCAGAATAACGGAACACGACTGATTTTTCTTTGTTAGGACGACAACTATCCACCTCCAGGATGGAATCTATCCGGACGAAGGATCCAACAATGTACAGACGACATTCCTACTGGGTATGTGATCCAAAATAGTATACATCATAGAAGACAAAAAGATTCTCTTGAAATAAGCGAATTATGGCCACTGTCTCCATTCTCAGCCAGTTTAAACTTCTTTAAAAATTTTCAGTGACTCAGTCTGATCATGCTTTAACGGAATTATCCTTAAAGTTAAACGAAATAAATAATACTTTGACCTGCGGATGATAAACAAAGAATATATGATCCTCACGGACTAAGACGAGATTCGAATCCCTGCCTTCCAGATACTAATTGGGCGTTACTACCAACTGAGCTAAAAAGCCACCTCTTGGGAGCGAGGCAAAATACTGATGCGAAATCAGTTTTCCAGCTTCCAAGAATCATTAGAGTACAAGTAGGACTATAGAAATCAATTTAACTTGAAGAAAATTGTGAAAATTAATCTAAGTGTCAATGAATATGTAACCGGAGGTCACTTTAATAATTTCCTGTTACAGGATTGGAGATGACGATGTTTGTACGATTGATCTTTGCGAAGAAGAAGAATGCCGTGCTGCACAGGTGAATAACTCAACAAATAATTCCTTTGAATGTAACCTAAAATGCCCGCTTACCGACCAATAAAATGTCTACCTGTCAAACTGTTTTTATCATTTCATATTTTCAGGAGAACGATTATGTGGACCAACTGACCGATGATATCAAAGTTTTCATATCTTTATTGATTATTTCTTTATATTTAAGAGCTCTGTCTAATAATTTCATAAATTAAAGCTGCATGGTCGTTTGTTCTTAAAATTGAACAAATACATTGTTGTATAACAAAACCAGCGTTGTTTCCGTTGTCTAGATGTGTTTAAGTCCAATTGTAAAAGGAAGTCATATATTGTTACAATAAAAATTGATTCAAGTCTGTCACTCATACTCCATAAACCCCGTTTTGTTAGTATCTCGCCGACCCGAGACAAGACAACTCGAACAGAAAATGCGTGCGCACGCCATGACCAGGATGTTAACAGCTATTTTTTCCTGTCGTCCGCCATATTGTCAAGTATGTAACCTGGCCAAACGAGGGTCAGCAGATGCTAAATTTCATATAAACGTTCCGTAAAGTTGTCTCGGGTACCCGAGAACATATAAATGGGGCCTAGGATCCTTTAATATATTTCCTTTCCCACGATCTTTAACAATTTTTTGTCTTCCTTCTAGTCCATGTCAGAAGTAGTATAAGCAAGTTTTGGTAAATTAGGTGGCTCAATATGCAGGAAGATGCTCTTTTTGTAATCCTTTTGTTTTTCTTCTTAAGCGGTTGCCCACGTAACGCCCCGTGAAAGAAAGATTCACTTCACATTCACGCGATCACGTGACAATTTTGAATTTCGTGATCATATACCGTCACACAATCCGTCGTATACCGTCAACCGTCTACCGTCTGTATTTTTACATGCCATTTCAGAATGCCTAATCTCCTCGTAATTATATTTCAAGTATTTTAATGAGGTAGTTTCACCAAATTAAAATCACGCTACACTGACAGACCAAACTTCCGTTTTCAAAACGAAAAATTCCCTTTCGACAGGACTTGTCCCAGAGAAGATTTTCCAAGTGCAGCCATGTCAAAACACTATGAACGCAATCCTATTTTAACAGCACTGTTTGACTCGCTTGCGCCAAACGGCTTGAAAATTAATCGGTAGTATTTATAGAAAAAGTGAGCAACTCCAAATTGAAAATAAAAAAAACTTATAAATTCTTAAAAGGAAACCTAACTCTTTATAAATTTTTCTGATTGTTTAATTTTCCCACTAAACTTTCGTTTCGCTCAATCTGCTCCTCAGTTTACTGTCGAATAATTTACGATAAGCTATGATAACATATTTATGCTTTAAAAAATTCCCTAAACCTATTAACATTTGATTGTCATTTCAGGCTTTCAGCATAAATAAATATCATAGTTGACGGCTCTTAACCTCAAAAAAATTTTCGACCAGTCCTGATTAATGGCCAAACAGTACTTTATCATGCCTAAAGAGCAGTAAATGTATATAAACTGTGATCAGTAGCTGTTTCATATTTTTATTGTGAACTACATGCTCACTTCTAGAAAAAAAAATTGCCCAGTCATTATTGAAATCATCCCATCCTAAATGCTTTCAGTTTCAAATGAGGTCATCAACAGCAAAAGATTTATATCAATTACTAAGGAATCCATAGCAAAGTCAGCTTATCGTATTCAAACGTTATAGACTTCCATGTGCAGTCAATTCTTATGATGAAAACGGAAATTTCATCGAGAATGATATGGCTACCAAATTGAAATGCCGGATAAAAACACTCCAAACTCATTCCCTGATTGTAAACAAGTTTGAGAGAACGCGCCTGGACTTGCACATGCTTAATATTTCCCCGTGGGCTATTGACCTAAAACACACAGAAAAAAAATTCCTTGTTCAAAAAATTCACGCAACTTTCATAACATAATGTTCCCTCATTGAACTGTGAGGAGACACCTACCGTAGCATACGGAAAGCGAAGAGTGCTTTATACTGCAATAGATCATGTCAACAAAGCGCACTTCGTCGACAGAGAGAGAAGGTACGTCTGTTGACAATATCACAACGGTTCGAACGTAGTTTCAGTTAGAGTTCCTACTGTACATCCTCTTTTTGCCGTGGCCAACAATGTTCACGGCTTACCATCGTACAACACTCTTTTATAATCTTATTTCATATCATAACCGCGCTTCAGGATGGATGTACAATCAAGCCAGCACAGGGAAGCATGGACAAGGAAAACACAAGTGCAGACCCAACTCTTGACACGACCAAAACGAGCGCCTCTTCTCACTGAAATCACTAGGGGAATGGAACATTGAAGGATGGTCGGGGATATAGGAGGCACGAGCCTTTTGTGAAGATTGTAAAGAAAGATCCCATAAAGGCAAACATTATTAGAGACGTCATACATCGTTTTGATGGAAGACCAAGAATTTGTTCATTTTTAAGGAAGTTTCTCTATAAAAATTCAGGGATTGGTATCCTTTAAGTGACAGCTTGCAATACGATCGGCCGTCGATTAATGAACTGATTTCCTACGGAATCGATATCGCAGACATAGACAAGGGTTTCTTCACTTTGACTTCGTTGAATGTCATGTTCATTAGACAAAAGGGAGATGCAAGGCAAGTTTATCGATAATTAGGCTTTTTTACTTTGCGATCTATAAATTTCACAGATTTTCTTCAAATTCATGACGTTCATAAAAGTTCATTCAGAGGTGGAAAGAAATGTTATTCTCGACCTCAGTTCCACTCTGTACGTAAAATTCGATTTCAGTTAGTCTTCAAAGATGAATCTCTTTCCAGCAAAACCCAATAAAATTAATTCAGCAAAACTCAATCAACATGACAACCTACTTGATTAACGAGAGCCCTGATTAGAGAAGCGATAGATTTTTAACTGTCTGTGACGGATAGAGTGTTACCGAGCACAATCCATATTAACCGCAAAATTTATACTGTACAAGTTAATCCTGGTAGTGATTGGAATATAATTTCTCCCGACAATTTCAACATCTTATCAGACAACCTGGTAATGAAAATGACAAACAAAATCAACTTGGTATTATGGTTTTGATGTAAGACACCACATTCTCAGCACTAACAGTTAGTTGGAATGAATATTTTTAAGATCTTAGCAATGCAGGAATTCAAAACAGCTAAACTGCTCGTAAAAACTACAAACGTTCAACGTGCATTCGGGCCGCGCTAAACGCGTTTGTTTACAAATCCTATTTTCACTGCTGTAGCAAAGTAAAAGCAGTATTTCGTGAAGTATACAAATGTACCTCCCTTTAACCGCCTAACAAAAACGCAATGAGGGACTACCAACAAAGGAAAAAAAACTGAGAGAATTCTAAGAGTGTTGTATTTAGAAGTCATAGCATTACATGACATCACTTGCTTCAGCATGACCACAAAAACTAAGGTAAGGGATACTGTAGATGCAATGAGTTCAAATCATTTCTCACTTTCTCTTTATCTAATCCAGAGGTGGTTTTCAAAAACTTCAATCGAATCGACTGCCACCCCAAAACTTGCTTCACAACCCGAAACATGGCTGCTCTGATTGCATTCATCTTTGACTGACAGAGTATAACCTATTGTTAATTACGACTGAGCCAATCACGTGTGAGTTTGATCCGTGAAATTGTGCGAGATGATGCAACCACATAGGTTTATCAGGAGAAAGCAAACCTAATTTCAACACATTTTTCCTCCAGCTCAGCTGAGGTAGGTTTATTTCCAATTTTGCACTATTTCGGCGGTATTTTTCCGGAGTCTTGCAGTACTTTGAGAAAATTCACCGCACATGTGACGAAGAAGACTCTTCTGATGGCACATTTCACGAATTGTGACCAGAGTACGAGATATCGCTTTTTCAGCTCCCCTAAACCGTTCCTAGAAATAGATCCAGGCACTTTCTTCGGTTTTGAAAGTATCGCACGTAACGATTCTGCGATTACCACCATTATGTCGCCTAGAAGAGTGCACACACAGTTTCGACTGAAGCCAACTCGGTATGGGTTAAGCACGTCGCCTCCCTCCGGGCCTAACAGATGATATCAAATCTAATCCACGAATTTGGAATCATGCCGTAATCATTCATGATCAGCAGAATGTATCCTGTTGTTGGAGGTCTTGTTTTACCACAAATCGTTCCAAAGTAAAACTTGGAGAGTCAAAGTATCACTGAAACGTTGCAAACGCGAACATTATGGAATTTGCATAAACTAACAGCACTATCAACTCTTTTTTTAGTTATAGGAGAAAGAACAATGGCCAATTCTAACAGCCACGCAAACGTAAGTACCATGTGTATGCATTTAAAGCTCTCTAACCGTCGTGCGGCTATAGAGCACGATGATTATTAGTTTAACGCTGACCATGATTCTAAGCATCTTCCACCCTTACCCAATATCGATACTTCAGAGCCATTTCAATAAAAAGTTTGTTTTGCATTCCAAGAAAGGTAATATTTTAAGATTCATGCACGTTAATACATCACCAAAGCTAGTTTAACTCAACAACACTTTATTACTACACTTCTTCAAGTTCACAGAAACTCGCTGTACGGTGCCAACCGACTGAGGCCAACTTCATGAACGTTTAAACACAGTGAATGTAGTTTCGTGAAATCTCGCCGTTTACAATGAAACATACCAGCCGCATGCAATTTATGCAGCCGGGTGTGTAAATGTTTTTGTACAAGGTCCAAAATTTCGGAGGATTTTGTTTAAGCTCAAAAGTTTTATTCACCATTACTTTTGCTCGATTTCGTCTTCTGTTACATTGTGACGACGTGGCTTTTCGAAAAAACTGTTCAATCTCTCATGTGGAGAAATTCAAAACCTATCATCGGCTGTTGAGGACAAAATGAAAGTAAGACCTAACTAAAGAACTCCAAGATCCTTCTCCCATTCGGATATTGATTATGTACTGGGTCAAAGAGGATATGACAGAATTACTCCTTTAACCTTAAGTGGCTATCAGCAATTTAAAGAAGGGTATGTCATACAGCTGTAAGCACTAAATGCAGTAACGATCAGTGTGTATCGAGAACACAATACTAATGACAGCGATAAGTTGCAGTTGATGGTAAAATAAATTTTCCAATGAATTTCACATATTTCAAGAAAACTCTGTCTTCTATTCCCCTCGTTGCTGTGCATTGATGAACAGTGCATCTGTTTGTTTCAGGGGCAGGACAGGTTTATGAGCACAAACTGGTAAGTTGAACAACTCCTGGCGTTCAATTTACACATTCCAGAAG